TTTTGACCCATAGGTGGCGCTGTTGTGAAATCGATGCGGTGTCTTCTGTGTGAGGTGATGATCACACACAAAGTTTGGTGTCATTATGTCAAAGCTATGCAGAGATACAGCCTCAGATGCAGTTTGGCAATTTCCAGCTAATTTGTTGATGCGCTAAACGAAAACCGTTTTGTATATTGACACGAAATCCATAACTTTTTGCCAGTTTGGTCTGAAGATGATCCGAGTCAAATTTGGTGAAAATCGGACAAACGGTCTAGGAGGAGTTCGAAAAATAAGGTTTTCAACATGAATCAAAATGGCGGACAGGAAGTTCGGCCAGTTATGTCATAACTGGTATCGATGTTCTCGGCATGATACAAGGAATCTATCAACATCAGTCTCATTACAATAGGCTAATGTAAGCAAAAGTTATTAGCTTTTTTGGAAATTTCATTATAACTTTTGACCACAAGATGGCGCTGCCCCCTAACTTTTTGAGTACCATCAGGGCATGGTGCCGAAGAAGCATACCAAGTTTCGTAATGATACGTCAATGCGTTCGTAAAATATAGCATTTATATCGTAAAATATAGCAAAATTCAAAATGGCCAATGGCCAAAATGGCTGACATGGTCAAATTCGGCATGCTCCACCGAATCTAAAGAGACCAGTTTTGTGATTTTTGGTCAAACCATTCAGAAGTTATAAGCAATAATAGCCATTTCATATCTCCCGACCACTACGTGGCACTGCACCGAAACACTGCAGGTAGTCTCAAGTCATGCTTGTTATAACACACGCCAAAATAAATACGCCAAACCATTGCGGAGATATAGCCTCACATCCATTTTTGCATGCTTTTCGTCGAATTCATTTGCGTGTTTTTCAAGAACGGTTTGATGAATCAACTTGAATTCTATAACTGTTTGCCAGCATGGTCTGAAGATGATCTGAGCCAATTTTGGTGAAAATCGGACGAGTTAGAAAAAGTATGTTTTTCGAACAATTGAAAATAGCGAAAAAACTAAACCTTACGATTTTTACATTTTGGAGTTCATTCGACTCGGCATGAGCCAAGGATTCAGAGGAAAAAATAATTTATTCTAGTTTTAGTTATTAGCATAAACATGAGTGAAACTTTGGACAAGTGGTGGTGCTATAGAGTTTGAGTTAGAGACTCCAAATTTGCAATGGTGACTGTTCTGACTGCCCCCGCAATCGGTTCTATGGGCTGCCATAGACTCAAGAGCGGAAGAAGAGGAACACCAACAGATACAATAGGTGCCTACGCACCTTCGGTGCTTGGCCCCTAATTAAAGAATGTAAAAATATTTGTTGTCATTGTTGTGTTTTATAGTAGATTCCACAAGTTTGTGTGAAACCTGATGATCACGTGATCCAGCATAATTTGTGAAGAAAAAAAACATTTTGTGCTTTAATAGATGCAAAAACTGCACAACAAATCTGACAATCTGTATGAATTCAGATGATCAGAATCACAACTTTGCTAACATTTGGACAGTTTCATAATCCTAAAACTTTATATCTACACGCTTAAAAATAAAGGTTCTTTATTGGCATCAATGGTTCTCAATGATATCCATGGAACCTTTCAAATGCAGTAAAGGTTCTTTATAGTCGAAAAAGGTTCTTAAGATTTCTAAAATGTTCTTCAAAATGGTTATTTTAGGAACTGAAAGGTTCTTTGGGGAACCAAAAATGGTTCTTCTATGGCATCACTGCAAAAACACCCTTTGGAACCTTTATTTTTAAGAGTGTAGCCTGCAAAATTTGTTACTATAACCAAAATTTAAATGGCTAAACTGAATAGCTGTTATTTTGTGCTGTTATAAGCACAAAATCAATTTTCTGTTTCTTTCAATGAACAGTCACACTAGTGGTCAAAAATGTTAAATATTTTCTTTTAAATAAGTCTTATGCTTGTCAAGGCTGCATTTACGTGATAAAAAAAAGATAATATTGTGAAATATTACAATTTAAAATAACCATTTGTTATTGTAATATATTTTAAAAAGTAATTTATTCCTGTGATGTAAAGCTGAATTTTCAGCATCATTACTCCAATCTTCAGTTTTTTTTAATTCAGCAAAGGATGCATTAAAATGAACTTGACAGTAAAGACATTTGTTACAAAACATTTTTTTTTTCCAAATAATTGCTTTTAAATTTTCTATTCACCAAAGTATCCTGAAATAAATCTAATCAAAAAAATATCAAGCAGCTAAATGATTGATTTTTCAACGTATTTTCATGATTTCTGAAGGATCATGTGATACTGAAAACTGGAGCAACGGTGCTGGAAATTCAGCTTTGCTCAAAATATATTCAAATAGAAGAGTTATTTTTTATTTGTAATAATATTTCTCAATATTACTGTTTTTACTGTATTTTTGATCAAATAAATGTGACTCTCTGTGACTATACAAGACTTCTTTCCAGAACATTCAAAAATTCTAATTATTCCAAGCTTTTGTCCGGTAGTGCATGAGCTTTATTTTGACAGTATAAAGCGCAGAAATGACATAAAGTCGTTCAGAAGCCATAACACAAACAGCGTGCAGAGATCCTGAGCTGTGTCAGCTGAAGGGCTCTGCAGCTGATTTCCCGCACAATGAAATACAGCAGGGCTGTTAGAACTCCCCTAGCTGCTGTTTCACAGGAAACCTCCCCCACTCTGCAGCAGCTCCGCAGCCCCTCCCCCCGCGTGATGTCACGCATCCTCCCACTTCTGGCTGAGCCTCACAGTCTGCGCAGGGAACAGGAAGAGAGCGAGAGAGTATGAGTGTGCGTGTGTGTGTGTGAGGACGGGAGCTTGCTGTACTGTACTAGGGACTGAGGGCAGCCATGGGGAATTCACAGAAGAAGGCCCCCGGTCACGGAGAGGGAGGGGGCCCGCACTCTCAACCTGGGACCCCGGGGCACAAGAGGAGCCATGGAAACAACACAGCCAACTCAAAGGAAGTCCAAGGGAAGAGCCCGGCAGTCAATGGCACCCTTCCAGCCGGCAAGAGCCAGGATGAGCCTCAGGGCTCTGGTCCGGCGCACAGTGGCACTACCGGGGCGAGCTGTAATCTGGACGCCCCGTGTGGGGCCCTTCCTCCTCCACTGGCCAGGCTCAAAAATGAGGGCAATATGTTGTTCAAAAATGGACAGTTTGGGGACGCGCTGGAGAAATACACACAGGCCATCGACGGATGTATAGAAGCTGGTAGAGTGCAAATATTTTGTTTTAGTACTTGCTGTCAAAAGCAGACATTACATTTGTGTTAAAAGAGTAGATTTAACAGTCTTTGGTCTTACCGAGATTTTTGGTAAGGCGACTATTTTGGCAAGGTAATCATTGTTTTACTAGTACACTGACATAAAAGTACTGCTTTTTAATGATTCTATAGTGGGATACTAGAATTTTGTGTTTAATTATCTTGAAATTATGTGCGTTAAAATTGTATATTTGACAGATTTTAGGTGTCACCAAAATGCCATTTTTGGCATATTATACTTATATAGTCAACTAACATTTTAACCATTCAGGTTTTTATCTCAGAATAATTATGTATGTGTTAAAATAGTGTATTTAACCATTTTTGGTGTCAACAAAATGACATTTTTGGCAACGTGGTATTTTTTAGTATCTGTTTTCCTACTCTTTATAGTATACTGACTTAAAAGTACTTTTTTTTTAAATTAATCATTCTGGCTGGGTACAAGTATTTTGTGTTAAAGTAACTAATTATTTTACAGATTTATTTTATTTAAAATGTAACAGGTTTTGGTGTTACCAAGACGGTATTTTTGGTAAGGTGATTGTTTTGGCATGGCTATGGTTGTTTTTATAGTAGCCTATATTGACTTCAAAGCAGTTGGCTTTTAAAATATTCTGGCGGGATAAAGTATTTTGTTGAAGTATATTGAAATTATATTAATAATATATTTAACAGATTTTGGTTTCCGCAAAATGCCATTTTTGGCAAGCTGACAATATTTTTATAGTATACTGACTTAAAAGTACTGGATTTTTCCAATCAATTAACACATTTCAATGACTCTTGTTGGGTACAAGTATTTATCTTGAAATATTATATAGTATATGTGTGCATAAATAGTTTTTGGTGACTCATACTGACTTAAAAGTACAGGGTGTTCCAAATGAACCAGCACATTTAAGTGAATCATGTTGTATTGTGGACTACGAAAGCATCTATTGCGCAAACATTGCATAGATCCTGTTAAGCAGCGTTGAGTAAAGCAGGGGAAGGAATCCAATACCGGTTCATAGAGAGGCTCTGCTATCTAGATGTCCCATGGAAAAGGTCTTAAACCGCTGTTCATCAATCCATTGCATGTTGGGGACTCAAGCCGCATTTTTGTGAAACAGAAGTGAAAGCGTTTAACAAAAATGCCACTCACTTCCGCCACTTGGCATCGTGGGTGTGCCCTTTAAAGTTACGTAATGGGCCTTTTGAAAGCAGGGATGTACTGTCTTTCTAAACTCAGCTTCCCCAGAGTTTGTTCTATGACTAGTTGGGCTTGTAACATGATATCAGGTGACTAAACTAAACGTATTCCAGCATGAATGGCTGCCTGAACACCGAACCCATCCTCCCACATGTAACCATGCAGAACTAAAGACGCTTTCTTGGTCTATTTTCAGTGCTGTGCTTGTATTTGCAGGTATCGACAGCCCAGAGGATCTTTGTATTCTGTACTCCAATAGAGCTGCTTGCTACCTCAAAGATGGAAGCAGCGCAGACTGCATTCAGGACTGCACCAGGTTAATCACACATTTACATACTCGCTCTGTTCAGTGAATCAATGGCCAGACTTTCACAGAATAATCAGAGCTGCGTTTAGCTTGGATTTACGTGTGAGGTAATACTGTGTCAGAAAGATTAACACTCAACACAGTTAGTTGCACTGTAAGGAGCTTTACCAGCAGACTGGTTAACCGTCACTAAGATCCCCAGCAGTCTGTTACCGTGTTCTGCTCCTTTGGAGGGAAATAATCAAATTTCAATGAGTCAGTGAAGATACTGTACTTTCCGCTGTCCTGTTTGGACGCATCCATTCTTTAATCCTATAATAGATCTTAGAGGAAAGACAGGAAAATTATGGGTAAAGCAGAGAAAATAACACAAGCTTTAGCTTATATGGTATTTTAGCATGAATATTTAGACACCAACACATGCAGCTTTATGAATGGTTTCCTATGTAGATTTAGAGAGTTCATTTTAGGGCACAGGATCAGAGAAAGATCCTGATCCTCTGTTTCATCCTGTTTACTTATAGGGCTCTGGAGCTCCGCCCCTTCTCGCTGAAGCCCCTCCTCCGGCGGGCGATGGCGTATGAGACTCTGGAGCGCTACAGTAAAGCCTATGCGGATTACAAGACAGTCCTGCAGATAGACATCAGCGTGCAGGCGGCTCACGACAGTGTGCACAGGTACAATTCACAGGATGACATTTTAATATGTTTACAAATGTAGCTTTCTAAAAAATCTTTTATTATTGTCAATATCCTATCTTTAAAACAGGGTTAATTTACTAATTGTACATGTATATATATATTTCCCTTATATATATTTTGCAGTATATTTTGAGTAATATTTATGCTTCACATCGAAAAGCCTGCACAAATATGGCCCAATGCACTTTTAATATGAAGGAATTTTTCGTATTGATTTTTCACAGGCGTTTTAACCATATTTTGAATTACACATTGCATTATTGTGTTTTAGGGTTAAATCAAATGTCTGTAAACTGAAAGAATAATGGCAAAAAGTTACCAGTACTTTTTCTGTTTTCTACACATTTTTTTTCGTACAGTCTTGTTTTAATTGGAAATGCTTTTAAAAATGTTGACAATAGAATAGAAAATAAACTTCAAAAGATGTGTTGTCCGAGAAAAATGGTCTTGCACAGTAAATTCATCTCATTTCAAGGACGTTTATAAGAGCAAAGTACTTAAAGGGATAGTTCACCCAAAAATGAAAATTCTGTCATTAATTACTCACCCTCATGTCGTTCTAAACCCGTAAGACCTTCGTTTATCTTCGAAACACAAATGAAGATATTTTTGATGAAATCTGAGAGCTCTCTGACCCTCCATAGATAGCAAGGACAATACTTTTTGTGCGCAAAGAAAACAATAATAACAATTTATTCAGCTACTTTTCTTTCCGAGTTACCGTCTTCCGCCATTTTGGAGAGTACCCCAGAACGTAATCAGTGTTGTTTACGTTCAGTAGAGAGCACACGCATGTTGAACGTAAACAACGCTGATTACGTTGATTACGTTCTGGGGTTTGGAACGACATGAGGGTGAATAAGTAATGACAAAATTTTCATTTTTGGGTGAACTAACCCTTTAAAGGAATAGTTCGCCCCAAAAAAATTCAAATTCTGTTTTCATTACTCACTCTCATGTTCTTCCAAACCTGTATGAGTTTCTTTCTTCTGCCGAACACAAAAGAAGATATTTTGAAGAATGTTGGTAAACAAACCGTTTCGGTCCCCACTGACTTCCATTATACGGGAAAAAGTACTATGGTAGTCAATGGGGACCATCAACTGTTTGTTTTTTCACATTCTTCAAAATATCTTCTTTTGTGTTCAGCAGAAGAAAGAAACTCCACACTCTTAAAACTAAAGGTGCTTCACGATGCCATAGAAGAACCTTTTTTGTCTAAATGGTTCCATAAAGAACCTTTAACATCTGAAGAACCTTCCTGTTTCACAAAAGGTTCTTTGTGGCGAAAAAAGATTAGAATCTTCAGATTATAAAAAGTTAAGAAAGAGATGGTTCTTTAAAGAACCTTTGACTGAATGGTTCTTTGTGGAACCAAAAATGGTTCTTCTATGGCAGGGGTGGCGAACGTCGGTCCTGGAGAGCCGCAGCCCTGCAGAGTTTTGCTTCAACCCTAATCAAACACACCTGAACAAGCTAATCAAGGTCTGAACGGTTACTAGGGAGCTACAGGCAGGTGAGTTTTAATTAGGGTTGGAGCTGAACTCTGCAGGGCTGCGGCTCTCCAGGACCGGAGTTCGCCACCCCTGTTCTATGGCATCGCTGTGATGAACCTTTTAAGCGCCTTTATGTTTAAGAGTGCAGGTTTCAGGTTTGGAACAACTTTAGAGTGAGTAATGATGACAGAAATTACATTTTTGGGTGCAATGTCCTGTAAGGAAGTTTTGTTTTTTTTTTGCAGTGAAATGGTAAAAATTTCAGTAATGTCATTTGTTCTGTCTGATTGTGTTTGTGATGTGATCTCAGAATCACTAAAATGCTGATCGAGCAGGACGGTCCTGACTGGCGAGAGAAGCTTCCAGAGATTCCAAAGGTTCCTCTTTCTGCCCAGCAGCACCGTAAAGATGAGCCCAGTGCAGAGGTTCTGCAGGCCCGCGCAGCCAGAGCAGAGCAGGAGAAGGGTGAGTTAACACCGCATCGCCACTGAACCAAAACCAACACCAGAACCAGAACACAGCTACCAGACAGTCTCAGTTATGAGCAATAGTAATGTATAATTGTAATAGTAAAGCATAATTACTAAGTGTACACGGATGGTATAGTTTAAAATAGTTTCTCAAAAGTTAAAATATATGTTAATATCTGTGCCTGAAAGGGTTAACCTAGGTCCGTCTTTGAATATATATCTTATTTGCATATTTACAAGGTTATTAAAAGTGGGCCTCATTCATTAATTTGAGCGTGAAATCTGCATTTGAATGTTTTCACAATTCATGATTCAATTATGACCCATCAATAACTTTTGTACTGAAACTTAATCTAAATGTACGAACAGTGAAGGAACAACTGAAATCACATCCTCCAGATGGTCTTTTGAATGTGTTGGGAGAAAAGCATAGATATTCAATCTTAAATATTTTTCATCATATAGTAAAAGAGAAAGTAAAGGTGCATTATAGCTGCGAGGTTCCTCTGAATAAAAACACAGATATTATGCATGTAATGTTATATATGTACAGCTGGCCAGTGTGGGGTGTAATGCATTACTAAGTAATTAATTACTGTTATTTAATTACGTTTCCCTTTAAAAAGTAAGGGATTATTATTAAAATTGTATTATTATTATTCATGATTAAAATCACAAGTTGTGTTTGTTAACATTTGTTAATGCACTGTGAACTAACATGACTGTATTTTTGATTAACTAACATTAACAAAGTTTAATAAATAGTGTAATAAATGTATTGTTAGTTCATGTTAGTTAATACATTAACTAATGTTAACAAATGACATTTAGTCTTATTGTAAAGTGTTACCACACTTTAACATCTGATGTTAAAATATATGTTTTTAATGTAACCTTCTCCCTTTAAATACTTTAGTTGGATCAAGAATAATATATGCAATTTTATATTATCTATTTGAAAGTTTTAAAAGAGCAGTTTCATGTCTATCCTCGTATTGTGCAAATGGTCGAGATCGATTTGGGATTTACAAACTAATTAGTAATAAGTAATGCAATAATTTTTAGAGAGAGTAATTAGTACAGTAATCTAATTACACCGTTGAAGATGTCATTTTGTAGCTACTTTCTTACAGTAACTTAACCCAAACTGCAGCTGGCCCATGAGCTGCCTGTAATCTGGCTCTGTATGAAAGGTTTTCATTATGTTTGAACTGGTTTTAGGGAATTACTCAAGGATCTTTTCTTTAGAGAGCGTCATATATTTGCTGAGAGTGATGAAATGTCTGCTCAGACCCACCTTAACCCCTAATATTAAAGTATACAGCTATAATTGCTGTGTAAATGCATTCATGCCATTTCTGAGCTGCATCAAACAGTCACCTCAGAAGTGCTTCTGTACCACCTTTGCAGAGTAAATTCTGTATTTTAGCATTATATTGTGGATGTCCACATTAGGCGTCTTAACTAGAGAGACTTCCTTGGTCAACTAGCTTCAGCAGAAAGATCCTGCAGGTTGATCTTTATTATTGAAGCATGGCTATACAGACCAGCACCAGGATATTCATGCTGAGGTTATGAAAGAGGGCTGCATGCATTAAAACATAATGCATTTCCAAACAGAAATCTATGCTGGAACACCAAAGACCTGCAAATGCAGGCCAATGCTGATGAATAATACATACAGAAAAAATGCCGTTGAACAACTCACAACAAACGCCTGCCGGGAAGCCTTATTAGGTTTGACATTGTGTGTGACGTTTGAATTTTCTGTTGTTCACGTGTTTACGAGAATTATGCAAACAGATTCAGTCACACGCTGCATCTAACAGCATTTGTCAGCGTGGATGTACCGCGCTTGATGGCAATCAATAATGTAAAAGAGTAACATAGTCAGCTCTCATCGTAATGGAACCAGACGGCTCCGGTTTCATTCTGACCTGAGAAATGATCATGACCAGGTCGCATGATCACACGGCACACATCAGCGCCGATCAATGGGACAACCTTTGCTCTGCTGTGCTTTGAGCCAGATGCAGTCACAGCCATGGGTGTGTGTTATGTTATTCCCACTGCACTCGCTGCCTGCACTGCAACTGAACTCTTAAAAATAAAGGTGCTTAAAAGGTTCTTCACAGCGACTTTAAAGAACCATCTCTTTCTTACCTTTTTATAATCTGAAGAACCTTTTTTTCGCCACAAAGAACCTTTTGTGAAACAGAAAGGTTCTTCAGATGTTAAAGGTTCTTTATGGAACCATTTAGACAAAAAGGTTCTTCTATGGCATCGTGAAGCACCTTTATTTTTAAGAGTGTGAGACCAACCACTGCAAACCTGCCAAGCACACTGACACAAGCCTATTTGGTAATTGAAATAAAGCTGAAATAAAATAAATATAAATATTAGATGAAAAACTTAACTTAAAAAACTTAAAATCTGAAATGTTGTCTTGAAGTACTAAAACTACTATTTAAAAAAATAAAGCTAAAAATAAATTAAATTGAAGTTATATATTTGTATTGTATTAAATATAAATACTTTGTTGTATTTGTAATACAGTAACTTTGATCTTGCATCATTCAAATGTTTCTGTTGTTGTTGCACTACAATAATGAGAATTTGGGAGGGAAATGTGCTTAAATTTTTTTTGTTTGTTTCTTTGTTTTTGTAATTTTGAGAATTATGACCCAGACATGCTCTTGACGGGTTTTGTGACATTTACTCTTTTAGAGTGGATGCTATAATTTAGGGAAGTATTCAGAAGTGTAATTCTATTGTAAATCTACTTTCTCCACAGCCAGAAAAGCAGAGGCTCGATTCACATTGCTGAAACAAGAAGGAAATGACGCGGTGAAGAACGGCCAGTTTCAAGGTGCTGTGGACAAATACAGCGAATGTCTGGCCATCAAACCTAATGAATGTGCCATCTACACCAACAGGTAAACCTGTCCTACACTTTACAACTGTTATTATTATCAGCCAAACACAAGCTGTGTTCAGAATAGCACAATACAGTATTACTCATATATATCACTAATATAGTATACACTGTACTGTATGAAGCAAGCAGTGCGCTATAGTAACCAGTTCTGAACACAGCCGCAGTTTGGTGCAGCTAAATACTTACAAAGTAGCAATGAACTGAACCAGCTGCACATGTTGTCCTGAGCCTTCCAGAAAGTGCTGAGGCTGGAGCTGCTCAGACGAGGCTTTTCCGTCAGCAATTAGCTCTGACAACTCCAGCATAAAACAGCGGAGGAGAGAGTCAGGCCGCATTGCCGAATGAGAAATGTCTGCCGTGTTTTTCAGAGCGCTGTGCTATCTCAAGCTGGAAGGTTTCGCAGAAGCCAAACAGGACTGTGATTCTGCGCTTCAGATCGAGCCAAACAATAAGAAAGCATTTTACAGACGAGCACTAGCACACAAAGGCTTGAAGGTGTGTATCGTGCCATCAAACATGCCATTTATACTCATAAGAAAGCATGTCTCCTTCATTTTTGTACATTTTACATGTAAAACATTGTGAATAATGATTGTGCGTGCGACATCAAACTAACCTTATATCATGATAGTGTTGAATTCAGAGCAGCAAGGCAGAGTCTTGATGGTCTGTCTGTATGTTTCGCCTCAGGACTACCTGTCAGCCAGCACTGATTTACAGGAAGTGCTGCAGTTGGATCTGAACGTGCAGGAGGCCGAGCAGGAGCTGGAGACAGTGACTAGCCTGTTAAGAGAGAGTCTGCTGGCTAATTCTCAAGGTGAAGTCTCACTGCCAACGAGAGACAAAAACTAGCACAGTGCAGACTATGTAGGAAATCAGTTTCTTGGAACAACACCGCTACTTTTAAAAGTAATGCATTACAATATTGCGCTACTCGCTAAGAAAAGTAACTAATTATGAATAGTAATAGTTGAATTGGATCAGGTCAGCAGCAAAGACATTGGTTAATATAATAACCTATTTAATTATTGCAGGTTTGCGTCATTCTGAGTTTGCATTTCACTGTTTGTATTCATTTTGAGGAATAGCCTACTGAATCTTTTTTTGTGCACGTGAGATGAGTAAATGCATGTTCACATTTAGTCTAGAACTACAGTACGGGAGAGCGGGGCACAACGTAACACTTTTTGACTTGAACTGTCAGTTTTTGTAAATCCACATGGGGTTCAGAATATCATTTTTTATCCACAGTAATTTCACACTTGTCTTGTACAAACATGTTGCATTGTTTCATAATTACAGTGTACGTTTTTCTTTATTTACCCTCAAAAAAGGAAAGTGAAATGTGACAACGTGCCCCGTAGGTGTGGTACACTGTAACATCTGAGGGGCACATTGTAACATGACTGTATGACAGCTTAAAATGTTATCTGATCGAATGAAAAGAATATACAAGAAAAAACTAAAATATTTTGTCAATAAAAAAAAAATACTTATTTTTTTCTAATAAAATAATGGCGCTTTTTAAAAATTAAAAATAATCTGATTTTGGAGTTTGACGATGAACACATTGCAGCCAGGCATGGGACGGCCCATATAAATTAGCCAAAATGCTTTACATGTCTTGAAATATTAATTTCTGAACATTAAACATTGACTATCAGTCTTTATTCTCGCTATTACATCGCTAATGCCATAGAATAGCATAGTTTAATAATAGCGGGGCACATTGTATCACAGTGTTACAACGTTCCCCCATCTGCGCAACTGGAATTTAAAACCGGTTAGTGTCTTCTGCTAGTTATCGAAGCATTAAAAAAACGATCTAAACTGATAAATAACAGATTGGAGATTAAAATATTAGCAGATTTGTCTCATTTCAAATGAATAATAAAATGTTCGGCAAAATCTTCAAAAGATTTTTTAATTTTGTTGCATTTTTTCCTCTATATAATGTTGATGTGGTAACTAGTAAATACTGTAAATTTTGTTATGCTAGCATGTGTGCAAACCACGTGTGTTACAGCTAACCCCGTGTTACTTTGTGCCCCGCTCTCCCCTAAGCATCATGATCGCCTATTTTTTTGAAAAAGTAACTCAGATATTTTCTTGTAAATAAAAAAGTAATGCATGACTTTACTAGTTACTTTAAAAAAGTAATCTGATTACATAAATCGCGTTACTTGCAATGCATTACCCCCAAAATCGCAAGCACACATTCATGACGTCACACCGTATATATTGTAGCGTCACATAACTAACTATAAAACCAAACTTTTTCTAAAAAACAAACACTTGAACATACATCAGCATTATAAGAACTACCTAAAGTGATGGAAACCATTTTGAGGGAAATATTTCTTTGAAGTGGAATTTGATTTTTTAATTTGGCATACCATTCGTTTTCATGAAGATGGCGGGTTTATGACCCATAATGCAGTCAGCCACCAGGGGGCGATCAAAATATTTTGGCTTCACCTTTCAGGACGTGAGTGGCACACTGGTCTGGCCAGTCGCCACATGCTACAAGAGTGACAAAATCAATCACAAACCACAGCCAATCAGAAGAGCGTGTGGGCGGAGCTATCTCTGCAAGTGCCATCTCCAGTGTTGCCAAATCTACGGTTTTCCCGCGGAATTGGGATAATTTAACACTGTTGTTTTTCATGTCCACGGGTTGAAGCGACCCCAATAACCAAATATGTCGCTTTGTTTCATAATTACAGTGTATACGTTTTTCTTTATTTACCCCCAAAAAATGGAAGTGAAATGTGACAACATGCCCCGTAGGTGGGGTACATTGTAACATCTGAGGGGCACATTGTAACATGACTGTATGACAGCTTAAAATGTTATCTGATCGAATGAAAAGAATATACAAGAAAAAACTAAAATATTTTGTCAATAAAAAAAAAATACTTATTTTTTTCTAATAAAATAATGGCGCTTTTTAAAAATTAAAAATAATCTGATTTTGGAGTTTGACGATGAACACATTGCAGCCAGGCATGGGACGGCCCATATAAATTAGCCAAAATGCTTTACATGTCTTGAAATATTAATTTCTGAACATTAAACATTGACTATCAGTCTTTATTCTCGCTATTACATCGCTAATGCCATAGAATAGCATAGTTTAATAATAGCGGGGCACATTGTATCACAGTGTTACAACGTTCCCCCATCTGCGCAACTGGAATTTAAAACCGGTTAGTGTCTTCTGCTAGTTATCGAAGCATTAAAAAAACGATCTAAACTGATAAATAACAGATTGGAGATTAAAATATTAGCAGATTTGTCTCATTTCAAATGAATAATAAAATGTTCGGCAAAATCTTCAAAAGATTTTTTAATTTTGTTGCATTTTTTCCTCTATATAATGTTGATGTGGTAACTAGTAAATACTGTAAATTTTGTTATGCTAGCATGTGTGCAAACCACGTGTGTTACAGCTAACCCCGTGTTACTTTGTGCCCCGCTCTCCCCTAAGCATCATGATCGCCTATTTTTTTGAAAAAGTAACTCAGATATTTTCTTGTAAATAAAAAAGTAATGCATGACTTTACTAGTTACTTTAAAAAAGTAATCTGATTACATAAATCGCGTTACTTGCAATGCATTACCCCCAAAATCGCAAGCACACATTCATGACGTCACACCGTATATATTGTAGCGTCACATAACTAACTATAAAACCAAACTTTTTCTAAAAAACAAACACTTGAACATACATCAGCATTATAAGAACTACCTAAAGTGATGGAAACCATTTTGAGGGAAATATTTCTTTGAAGTGGAATTTGATTTTTTAATTTGGCATACCATTCGTTTTCATGAAGATGGCGGGTTTATGACCCATAATGCAGTCAGCCACCAGGGGGCGATCAAAATATTTTGGCTTCACCTTTCAGGACGTGAGTGGCACACTGGTCTGGCCAGTCGCCACATGCTACAAGAGTGACAAAATCAATCACAAACCACAGCCAATCAGAAGAGCGTGTGGGCGGAGCTATCTCTGCAAGTGCCATCTCCAGTGTTGCCAAATCTACGGTTTTCCCGCGGAATTGGGATAATTTAACACTGTTGTTTTTCATGTCCACGGGTTGAAGCGACCCCAATAACTTGATATTTAGCCCCTGCAATGCAAATTTTACCAGGGGAACCTCGCCAAAAAACGAACGTGATTTTTAACGCCCCGAAACGCCATTGGGCTAGTTTTGGGCTTGTTTTGAGTAGAAATTGGGCGGCTTTTGTTGTAAAAACATGGCAACCCTGGCTGTCTCCGACTTGTAACAAAAATGTAAACGATTTTAACATTATTCAGAATACATAGTAAGTAATACAATATTTGTTTTTAAATACAGTTGCACAGAGTTTACAGATTGAATGTTCTTGTTGACTTGTTGTTTTCAGGATCCGAGGTAAATTATCTATTATCTATATTGTCTATTAAAGTCACGCAAAATGATATTCAAACTCAAATGAAACAATTTTAGTACTGTACAAAAAACGTATCTGAGATAATGACCTGTCAACCGCAACGTCCCAGTAACCATTACAAAACAGAAGCTGCTGTTGCTGGTCATTGCGTCGCGTCGCGTTATTAGGACACGATGCAACAATCATTTAAACAGTTTAGCCTACATATTTGTTGAATCAATATCACTGTTGTTCAGTAAACACAAAGTTAATACTAAGTAGGCTAATTTACATGTTAGACACAATATTGCCACTTACTTTACTGTTTTCCGAGTATCACACAGCAGTGGCCTTACTAAATGAATCAGTGTTCTGAACGGAAAGGTTGAGTGAATCATTCATTGACTCGCTGCCACCTACTGGTTGGTGTAAGGATGAGACATGCAGAACGAGGCACTGAAAAATCCCCACCACTAATGAACAGACTGGGACCAGTTTTATACTAAGTTTATAAAAATGTGATTGCAGAATGCAGCAACGGATCATTTAAGTATTCTAGAGAGTGTGTAATAAAAACCAGAAAACTATTATCTAACAGCCGCTATAATCAGCCATGGTACCTCAGTGAACTTTAATCTTAGGTTTAGCTGATTAGTGGTGGACAAGGGTCATTATTACTATTGCTCATAACCAAACAAATCCCTCATCCTCAAGTGCTAAACTTTGGATCATAACCATGTGTTTATGCAACAGATATGAATGATACATACAGAGCAACTTTTTAAAAAATGTTCTTGAACTTTTATGTTTCTCACAACAATAACAAAAAAAAAAAAGTCACAGAGACTCACTTTGAGAGAGGATTGTGGCTCATATCTAGAGACCAAAATAAATTTAACAGACACAAACTACTCAGAATACACGGGCAACGTATTAGCAACCACCTACAACGGCCTATCATCATGTGTTGGCGAGTTATGCACAAGAAGACAGAACTCATATTTTCTGCAAAACATGTGTATCTTGTTTAGCCTTAAGGCCCATTCACACCAACGATGATAACTATAGCAATAACTAAAGTTTTAATAATCGTTCCAATTCTGTGAGAATAGTGTTCATACTACATCTATAACAACACAGAGGAACGTATGGAAGCCCGTTTTCGCCACAGAATAAAAAAAATAAAAAAGGTAATTGAAACATTTTCTCTCATAATTCTGACTTTTTATATATAAACTTGATATTCTGAGAAGAAAAGTAAGAATTGTGACAAAGTCACAATTAACTTTTTTATTTTTTATTCTGTGGCAGAAAGAATTCTGTGCATCATGAGTTTTTCTCACAATTCTAAATGTATTTTTCATACTTTTTTCCTCAGAATTCTGAGTTCATATCTAGAAAATTCAGACTTTTATCCTCCCAATTCTGAGTCTATATCTCACAAATTCCAACTTTTTTCTCATACTTTTTCCTCATAATTTATTTCTCACAAATACTGAATTTCCCCCCAGAATTCCCAGGTTTTATCCCAAATTTCTGACTTTTTTCTCACAATCTTTTTTATCAGAATTTTGAGTTTATATCTTGCAAATTCTGACTTTTTTTACTCAGAATTCTCAGGTTATATCCCACAATTCTGACTTGTTTCTCACAAAATTTATATCTCGCCAATTCAGAATTTTTTCTCACAATTCTCAGTTTATCTCTCAAAATTTTGACTTTTTTTCTCAGAATTCAGAGTTTATATCTCACAAATGCACAAAATGTTTTTCTCAGAATTCTCAGGTTTTATCTCAAACGTTTTGACTTTTTTCTCAGAATTCTGGGTTTATATCTGATTCTTTCTCTCGAGGTTCAGCGTACACACCAAATGTAGCACTTAAATGGCAACAACTGGCTTCAATGTGACATACATGAAGCTGACTAGTACCGTTTCCTCTCTGCAGGTTGACATCGAGGCAATAAAGGTTGAAATGAACAGAGAGCTACAGGAAGAACAGACCCTCCTTCATTAAAGCCTGACACGGCAGATCCAGCGAGCCTGAGAATTCCAGCTCACGGGTCCCACAGTCCCGCCACGAGGGTCCATTCATCCTTAGACTGTCATGCGCCGCAACTAAAGTTTCCCTTCCAGCAAACACTCATCTCACCTTCTTCTAGGAATATTGTCTGATAATGCCGACAATGCAAAGCATGCAAACGGTTCATACTCTGTAACTCTGGCTTCAGTAGGCACGTGTGAGCATGGCACGGCTGGGAAGCGTGAAACAAATGGGATTCTCGGCTTATGATGGGACGGTTGTCGTGTGTATAAGAGAGATGTGCCTTTTAAAAGAAGCTGTGGCTCACATATGGAGTGATTTAACACTCTCAGACAAAATTGTATAGGGATTTAATTTGCTACATTTAAATATCTAATTTCTCAGGATTTAATATATTTTTAATAGCTATTCCATTGTGTTGTGTAATATATGCATACATGTAGCTCATGTAGTGTAATTTATTTGGACATCTAGCCTTCAGCCCAACCATTGTCTCAATATGCATAGATAAAACACAAGATCCCACAACAAGGTATGAATGTGCAATAACATTAGATGCAGTTTTTCTTTGGGATGTCAGCAAAAGAAATATGTTTCAGATAAATACATTTGCATCAGCTAAATAAATTACTAGATGAAATATTTTTGCCTTTCGACATGATTGGTTTAGAAATTATATAACAATTGTTTTATAATTGCAAAACCACTGGAAATATAAAGCTAAAATAGCAACACCAATGATTTTAGATAATACATCCAAATGATTTGAATGTACACTACTGTTCAAAGTTTGGGGTCAGTAGTTTTTTTTTTTTGAAGCTTTTAAAATAAGTTTATTAAAATACAGTCATAAACACAGAAAAAAAAAAAAACAGTAATATTGTTAAATATTACAATTTAAAATAAGTTTCCTGTGATGATATATTGTAAAATGTAATTTATTCCTGTGATGCAAAGCTGAATTTTCAGCATCATTACTCCAGTCTTCAGTGTCACATGATCCTTCAGAAATCATAATAATATGCCGATTTGCTGCTCAAGAAACATTTCTGATTATTACCGATGCTTTTCCTGCTTAATATTTTTGTGGAAATCACCTTTTTAATTTAGAATTCTCTGATAAATAGAAAATTCCAGAGAATATTCATTTGAAATGTAATGTTTTGTAACAAATGTCTTTACTGTAACTTTTGATTATTTGATGCATCTTTGCTGAAAAAAAAAAATACCGACCCCAAACTTTATAGCTATATTAAATTTCTCATAAATATTACTAAAATTCAGTAATACTATATTATATTAAGGTTTTATGTTAGCAGGTGCAATGGCTAACAAAATTTAACAATAATTTCACAGCATTTCTTATGGTTTCTGTTTCTTATGGCTTTAATGAAACGTAGGAGATTTGTGTCACAAATTACAATATCAACCAAATTAATATTCATTTTTTTAATTAAATTTTTCACTCAATCTGTTATGCTAATATTCCATACCCCACTGTATGACACACACTGCCATAATTACATCGTGCATCTCAATAGCTGTCAGTTGTTTTTGAGCAAACACACAGACCACACATCTAGATTCGTGTTTTTATTTTCATTTAGATATGCATTTACATGCATATTATAAAGCAAATATACAAATAACAAGCTGTTTTGAACAAGTTAGAAATCAATCGGCCCTAGCCTCTGAAATAATATTCGTACAGATATGGGCAGGCTCAAAACATAAGAAAAAAAAAAAAACACTAAAGAAATGGAAGGAACAAAAACAAAAAAACAAAGCAGCTTGTGGCATTGGATCAGTCCCGAGAGATCACGGACACGGAGCAGCACCAGAACGCCAGCGAGAGAGACCAACAGAAATGAAGCCGATGAACAGTGCAAACACACGAGTGTGAGTGTGTTGAAGTGTGCAGGAGTCGTCGTCAGAGAGCCTGAGTGCTGTCTTTGGTAGGCGGTCGGATGTGTCGTCCCAGGGACGCTAGGAAACGATGCTACGCCGCCTCGCTAACATTCAACGCAGCCTCGTCCAGTACTTTTGAATTCATAAGACACAAACCGGAAAACAAATGTGGTTCATCTATGATCCAAAAGGCACCATGAGTCAATACAGATGAAAAAAAAAATTCACTTAATCAGTTGAAACAACCTGAATGTGATTACCATCATAGCCTTTACAATGAAAGTAGTTGAATTTTCTTGTTTTAAACAGGATGCAGATCTTTCTGATTCATGGACGACTTATTCTTTTTTTAAACAGCCAGACTCGCTTCCTCCCATGAAAGGGTTTGGTCAAGTTCCCCGTCCTACCAGCAGGGGGCGCGACACGGCTTCGTCCAGCTCCTCACCGAAGCAGTGGCTTCAACACATCTACTTTTCCCAAAAATGGAAAATACGCAGTGACACCAGACGAGAGAAATGAAAAGTAGCCCAAGAAACTAAAACTATTGCCTGGTCCCTCATGAGCTCATCTTGTATGAACATCTCGATAAGGGCATCGGACCCCCCAGACTTCCTCGTTGCCAGACTCCTCCAACTAAAGCTATATGCTGGCTAACTGAGAGTATATGCGTGTACACGTGTAGTGAAGGTGCTCCTGTCAGTCGCATGGTATCTGTCAAAAACGCGTCATGGTCATATTTCAGTCCAAAATTACATTTAAAGAAAATGAAGCCTATTTGTAGAAACGATAAGGTTTGTGACATTTTCATGAAAGTTAAGCACATTTTCCCTCCCAATTCGAATGACTGTATTACTGGGAAAAAAAATCTTATTACTGTAATGCAAAAATTATATACATTTAAATAATGGTAGCATTTGTACTGCTGATTTTTTCTTTCTTTTTTTTTTTTTTACACAGTAATACAGAAACAAAATACTGTTTTATAGTATTAAGAATCTAGTAAGAATAATCAGGAATTACAAAAACTATACTACAATAAAGAGAAAGAGGGAGAAAAATGTGCTTAAACCCACCCAAAAATGAGAATTCAGTCATCATTTACTCATCCTCATGTTGTTCCAAACCTATTCGAGTTCATAAAAGATATTTTGAAGAATGTTGGTAACCAAACCGTTTTGGTTCCCATTGACTTCAATAGTATTTTCAAAATATATCTTCAAAATCTTCTTATGTTCCACATAAGAAATACAGGCTTGAAACAGCATGAGGGTGAATGATGACAATGTTCATTTTTGGGTGAACTATCCCTTTAATTAACATGAAAATGTCACAAAACAAACTCGTCCTAAACAGAGGCTTCATTTCCAGTATGCAAGGAATGATATTTCTCTTCTTTCCTTTTAATTTTGGGGTGAAAAACGAGCTGGACACGTCTCACTCCTCGTTGGTGAGGTTCTTCATCTCAGCGACACTGAACACTGAAACAGAGGCATGTGTGATTGACAGCTACATCAGCATCTTCAGTCTCTGTGCATCACTTCCCGCCTTACATTCATCTGTTGCCTTTCTGAATCTTATCCGAGCTTCGGTCCAACTGTAAGCGCTGACCGAGTGTCGGTCAAACGGTAACCTTTGGTCACAGCGAGCTTTCTGAAACCTTGAGGCGCATCCTGCCCTTCCTTCTCCAACATTCAAAAAAACAAAACAAAAAAAAATCGACCAACCGGGATGTTAATCCTCCATGAAACGAGCTTTGAAATCTTCAGTTCAGTGTGCAATCCTTGGTAATGAAGGTTAGCTGTGAAAGCTAGCATGTGTGTCTGCTTATATCTCTGTTTGAACGCAGGCGTTACGCACAGGACTAATCGGCTGAGGAAGGTTGTTATTGCGTTCTTTAGGCGAGCTCTGGCCCGCGTCAGCCGCGCATATTAAACTCACATTCTCCTCCGTAATGTAGCATAGCGGGCGCTCTGCCGGCCCGTCAGGGGTCAGAGGGGCGACCACAGCTTGCGGAACGGGACAGTTCTCCAGTCGGTCATTCTCGACCTCTGGAAGCGGGCTGACCGCTCCGCCCGTGTTGGGTTGTCGGACTTGAGACTCGTAGCAGGGCGGTCTGCAGGCGTCCAGGTCGGAGCAGCTGAACTCTGAGAAGTGGCTGGAGTGTGAGTCGGCCACAGACGGCAGGCTGCCGCTCAGAGAGGGCGAGTCTAACTCGCTGGAGTTGGTGCTGCGGCGCTCCAGCAGCTGGGCGTCCATGTCTTCTCGCGTCTCGTTGATCTTGGTTCCGCCGCTCTTTTTGCGCAGCTTACCTTTGCACTTCTTGCCGGAGGAGGAGGAAGTGGTGGAGGACGGCTCCTTGGCCCAGCGAGAGGTAACGCACTTGCCCTCGTGGGGACAGCCGGAGGGGCAAACGCCGGGCCCGTGTCCTCCGCTGCTGCCGTCGTCCATACTGCTGCTGCCACTGTGGTGCCTGAGCTTCCCTCGCTTGGACTCCACATCCACCTGCACCTCCATACTGTTCCCATCCCTGCTGCACAACAACGTCTGCTGTTAATGACAGCTCAAGCTCCATCACTGAGCCACCTCACATTCTTTTGGATAAATGTGACCCTGGAGCACAAAACCAGTCTTAAGTAGCACAGGTATATTTGTAGCAATAGCCAACGATACATTGTATGGTTCAAAATGATCGATTTTTCTTTTATGCCAAAAATCATTAGGATATTAAGTAAAGATCATGTTCCATGAAGATATTTAGTAAATTTCCTACCGTAAATATATCAAAACTTAATTTTTGATTAGTAATATGCATAGCTAAGGACTTCATTTGGACAACTTTAAAGGCAATTTTCTCAATATTTAGATGTTTTTGCACCCTCAGATTCCAGATTTTCAAATAGTTGTATCTCGGCCAAATATTGTCCTTTCCTAACAATACATCCAACCATACATCAATGGAAAGCTCATTTATTCAGCTTTCAGATGATGTATAAATCTCTCATTTCTCATAACATTGTCCCTTATGACTGGTTTTGTGGTCCAGGGTCACATATGAACACAGACCTGTCCAGAGGCAGGTAGGCATTGAGAATGGATCCAGCCATTGCTTTGGTACTAGCGTTGTCACTGATTGTCCCCAGACTGACGGTGCCAGACTCCCCGCTCAGACTGCAACGCTCCTTTTGGACATCAGCTTGAACTTCCAACCTGAGAAACACAAACAGCACATTTAAAGGAGTCATGTGATGTGATTTCAAGTTTTCCTTTGTCTTTGGAGTGTTACAAGCTGTTCGTGCATACAGTATACAAGATCTGTAAAGTTGCAAAGACTAAAGTCTCAAACCCAAAGAGATATTCTTTATAAAAGTGAAGACTCGTTGATAATCAATGTTATTTAATGATAGAACTTTTGTAATTAGAATTAAAACTTGTTAACCATGTATGAATGCATATTAGTCTGAACTTCGGACTGGTGATGGTGCTTTTTTGGTCATTCAGTGTTTCTGTACAAAAAAAATAAAAATCGGGAAAAAAATAACAAAAATACTGATAAGATAATAATATAAAACGCACCAAGGATTAATGAACTACTGGATTCATGAATATTAATCAGGTTGTGTACGTTCGCTCGAACTGATTTGCTGAAATCAAAACAGGGACGATAATAGGTGAGCGCCAGCCAATGAGATTGCCGTTTGCGCATTAGTTTCGCCTACTACCGGAGAAACCGGCAGTTCTTAAAAGCGGAAGAATTCCAAAGGAACTCTGTTGTATTTTCTTGTCAAAACAACGAAGAATATCGTTTACATGTAGCGCGTCAATTCTCTTTCTTCTCTCTCTGCGTGTGTGTGTGAGACAAAGCGACGGCGAGTCGAGCGCCTTCACACTAGAATTTACGG